TTTGTATTTGCTTCTTCTAAATGCCTGTAACAAATCAGAAGCACAAGTCTCTTTTACATGCAGAGGTCAAACTCAACTTACCCTTTCTTGCTTCTTGTCGTCTGTTTAATTTTGGGGACACCAAATTAGCTGTGTGTTTTATTCCCTGGATAGCAGGCAACATGGGAATGATTTCTGGATAGACATCACTGCGGCTTCTGTTGGTTGGCTTGTGCGATTGCAGACACTCTTTGGTTGTTTCCGAGACTGAAGAGGATGAGCGGGATTTAGACCTGTTTTTACCTTTGATCACCTGTACAGGTGAACCTGAGCCTCTTCCACTGTGTCTGTCATCACAGAAGACTTTGAAATCCAAAGGCCTGTTCTCATTTTGGAACAGGATCTGACTGAACTGGGGCTGAAATAGAGGAGGTGTTTGTTTGGAGGCCTGTGTTAGCTGAATTGGATTGAAACCCTGCAAACATAGATTAGCATCTTGTCTGTGACCACTGTGGTCAGGTAAAGCCCTGAGTCCCATTTTGGGTAACTGTTGGGTTTTGGCGTGTTTCTGGCCGCTAGTCCGCATTTGAAATGAATCTTGTCTAAAAGAGTTGTTCAAACAGTGCTGCCTTTTGTTAGGTAGTGCCTTAGTTCCTAGTACAGTCTGATGAAGATCCTGTTGCCCAGTGAGGAATGACTTGTGTTGTTGTCTTGCTTGGACCATGCTAAGGAGCTGTTGGGTCATATGTTGGTCAGAAGACTCTGCATTCTCCCTTGAACTACAGTCATGAGGTATGCTCTGACTTGAGTTCTTTGGGCTTTGCTTTTGTTGGACTGAGTTCTCAAAGGATTGCATCGGGTTTCTGTCTGCTTGGTTTGGTGTCTGGCCAAATGTACAACTCGAAGGCTTAAGTCTAAGGCCAACTCCGTATCCCTCACAGCTTGGCTCAACCTCCCCTACATCTGTCCTTGTTACATCTAGGGAACGTAGCATACTTTTTCTCTCAAAATTCACAGGGTTTCGGAGAGCTGCCATGTAAGACTGCCGATACCTGCATTTGGATTCTGGATCGTTTTGCATGCTCTCAGGTGGTTTGTTTTGCATACAAGGATTGCAGTCCTCTTCACACATGTTAACATTACTTTTTGGGGCAGGTTTAGTCGTCCTGACTAACTTGAAGCCCAGTGGTTTTGTGGGCATTGCTATTTTGTTGAGGACTAAAGTCTCTTTCTCCTTGCTGAACTCTAAAAGATCCACATATTCTCCTTCCAGCTCTCGGTTGTGCCTGCTGTCCCAGGTATTAGGAGATACCCAGCCAACAGGTTTTCCAGCAAAACTGCTTATTGGATGTCCTTGGTCAACCTTCACCAATCTGCTGCCACCGTCCACTAGCTGAACAGAAACCGCCATCCCATCATTTGCTGGAAGGATCCTAGTTTCCATATCAAGTGGTAAAAGGCCTATAGGTACCTGTGACTCGTTCTTCGAAATCTCAGTTTTAAGATCTTTCACACGGAGAGTTGGAGTTGAGCATGGCTTTGTTTCAGGCCAGATGTTAGATTTGGGCCTGTCAAGGAATTCTGGGTTGGCAACTTCGGTCCAGGGTACCTTCACAACCCCCTGGTCAGAGGAAAGCACACACTGACATAGAGGATTTCCATGACGTCCCTCATTTATTTCCCTTAGCCAAGACTCCGTGAATATGCATGGATAAGATGTCTCAGGAATGGGAGTCCCCTCAATTGCAGTACCCTCCAGCAACCTGGAACCGGCTTGCAGCACCAGATTCTCATGCCCCAGGAGGTCTTCCTGCACAAGAAGACTTTTGAGGACGATTCGGGCTGACTGTTCTCCAAAAGGTTCCACCTGCAAGTAGAAATCTCCAGGTCGGAGCAGTAAAGGGTTGATAGGGGCAAGTTGGATCACCACACGATCTCTCAGGCACAATGGCCAACCCTCACACCGGAACAGCACATCGGAGTATGCAGCCTAGTGGGAGAAAGAAAGGGCAAAGCTAGTTTGTTGACTTGCAGATCATTTTGGATTGACAGATTTTATGACCGCAAAATTCCTAATGGCTTGGGTCTTGATGCCGTTTATTGGCTTGCACGCAAACATTCTTGAATCCCCTTCAGAAGAAGCTGCCTCGGAAGGCCTTTGTTCTTTCTGAAGATAAAACAAAACAATCTTGTGCTGAGTGGACAAGGATAAGTAGCTTGTGGGATCTGTGCCATAAAAATCCACATGGAAGAAATATCTGCACAGGAAACTCCTTTCATCTTGCCCAGTATGCTAACATACTTTACCCTTTAAGGCTTAGTTCACCCAAACATGAAAATACATTATTGACTCACTCTTATGTCATTCTCACTGTCCCTTTCCATACACTGAAAGCATACACTGAGCATGACCTGTCATGCATCATAAAAGTAGTCCTTGCAAACCTATATTCCAAGTCTACTGAACCTTTATGCTAAAGCTGAAGTGAGGAATATGTTTGTCTTGAGCACGAATAGCTGTTTGCTCAAACAATATAAGATGAAATGGTAGTTTTGCA